TGGTCCCTGACTGCAGTTTTCTGGTTTAGTTCTGTCTTTGCCTACTAACCAACCGTAGGATGGTTTGACAGTCTTCAGGTGAAGCACTAATCTGTCTAATGTTAGATAGGGATTGTACCTCGTCACAATTAGAGATGTGTCTTTGAACCGTGTGCTTGTACAAATCTGAGTCTTTATCTGCTTTGTCGGTAAGAACCAGGGAAGTACGTGTGTGGTATGAACAGTATAGTTCTGTCTTTGCCTACTAACCAACCGTAGGATGGTTTGACAGTCTTCAGGTGAAGCACTAATCTGTCTAATGTTAGATAGGGATTGTACCTCGTCACAATTAGAGATGTGTCTTTGAACCGTGTGCTTGTACAAATCTGAGTCTTTATCTGCTTTGTCGGTAAGAACCAGGGAAGTACGTGTGTGGTATGAACAGTATAAAATGGGATTTGTTCCTTCCAGGCAGCTGAACAAACTTTTAATACATTTTATTCTGTTGCCTCATCCAGTATCATCATGTTCGTTCTGGCTTTCAGCAAAACTTCTTAACAAACTGAAAAGCTTAAGAAGGCAAACCAGTATGTTTCTGTGCTGATGTTTTCTGTGTTCTGTTCATAACTCAACTATGGTTTTTACCACTGAAGCCCCTTCTTGCTGCTTGTCAGCTCAACCTGCATTGTTGGAAACGGCGTGTGAAATTTGATCTTAGCTGTGGCGGGGCTGTCTTTGGGCTGGAGATGCCTATTTATTCAAGTATATATTTTGATTTTCATCTCTAGTAGTGTTAGACTAACACACTACTGTTTCTGTTTTGGAAGGTTTTGGTGCCAACACTGCTGGAAGTAGCTTGTTTGGAAGTAAGCCTGCCACTGGGACTCTGGGAACTGGTCTTGGAACAGGGTTTGGAACAGGTAAAAACGATTTACCAGCTTAATTCATGTCCACCTAAGCGTGATCCTCCAACTTCGGTGGTAATACAGCCTTGGTATGACTTGCTAATGCTGATGCAGGAAAGGCTGTGGATGTTTCAGCTTCAAACTGTGACTCTCAGTCTGAAATCAGAAGCAAGCAGAGCTTGCTGACATGGCACCAAGTAACGTTTGAGAAATTGTCGGCAGCATTGCTCACAGAGGTGGCTCATGGCTCAAAACTGGTGGCGTCCTCAGTGTTGGAAGCCTCTGGTCTGATGGCAGGAGTCTGTAGTGTTCATGGACATGTTGAATCTTTCTTGCAATTTAGTAAAGAATTGATTCTTTGTTGTGGGATAAATGGGCTTGTAAGTTTGTCACAGTGTTGTAGTGAATGACGGGCATCTCTCTTGCCACAGCTCTTGGGGCGGGACAGACCTCTTTGTTTGGAAGCACCCAGCCTAAACTCGGTGGGACGCTGGGAACAGGAGCCTTCGGAGCCCCGGGGTTCAATACATCGACAGCTCCCCTGGGCTTTGGAGCCCCTCAGCCTGCTGTGGGTAAGTGTGCATTAACTCAAGCTGAATTTGCTGCTTCCTGCCTTGTTTCAGATGTGCCTGAACACAGGAGCACGTCCCACCTGAATGCTTTGCAGGGGAAAAAAATGTTTGAGCATCTGTTTGAGGTCACTTCTGTTCTCGGTAGCAGTGGAGGCCATGTTAATAATGTTTTTTTGGTGCTAATTATAGATATAGGTATGGATTATTATTTTTTTAAAAGATAATTCAAAGTTGCTTAACAGTACTCATAACTGCAGCTATTTTAGAGCTTTGTTTTCAAGATTACTGACATATTTCCAATCATTGAATCTGGGGCAGCAACAGTAGGTGCTTACAAAAAAAAGTAAGGGAAATGTAGTTTCAGCTTCTTAAGGAATTCCAGGTAGGAGATACTGAAGGACTTAATTAGCGAATATGCTGTGCCGCTGGTGAAATGAATGGTCTGTAGCTTCAGGCACTTGTTATGTTGTGTAAGTTAAAATGTCTTGCTACTGTTGTGTAAGTTAAAATGTCTTCCACTTCTGGCAGCATTCACCCTGTTTGGCAGGTCTGAGCACTTTAAAGGAATGGCAGACATCCCTGATGCTCCTGCCCCCTGAGGCTGTGATTGCAGGAAAACCATTTTAAATTTGGGGCAGGGGGTCAGTGACACGTGCGTACGGCACTGTGTGGGAGGACAGGCCTAAGGAAGGCAGCTGATGTTCAGGAATCACCTCCTCCAGGCTCGGGAAAGTCCCATCCTGATGAGCAGGAGGTCGGGCAGAATGACAGAAGGCCTGTGGGGATGGCTGAGGAGCTCCTGGGAAAGCTCCAGCACAGAAAGGAAGCGTGCAGGAGGTGGAAGCAGGAACAGGTAGCCCAGGAAGATTACAGAAACATTGTCCGAGCGTGCAGGGATGGGTTTAGGAAAGCCAAAGCCCAACTGGAACTGAATTTGGCCAGGGATGTCAAAGGCAACAAGGAGGGCTTCTATGAGTGTACAGGTGACAAAAGGAAGAGTAGGGGTGGCTGATGGGCCTGAGGGTCCTGCTGCCATCCAGGTGGACCTGGGTGGGCTGAAGAAACGGACTGTCAGGAGCCTCATGAAATTCAGCAAGGAGAAGGGCAAAGTCCTGCCCCTGGGGAAGAACAAGCCCAGGCACCAGCACAGGCTGGGGCCACCTGGCTGGAAAGGAGCTTTGCAGAGAATGCCAGGGGAGTCCTGGTGAACATCAAGCTGCCCAGAAACCAAGAGTGTGCCCTTGTGGCAAGGGCAGCCAACGGTGTCCGGGGCTGCATCAGGAGGAGAGAAGTGGTCCTTCCCCTCTGCTCAGCACTGGTGGGGCTCCACCTGGAGTGCTGTGTTCGGTGCTGGGCTCCCCAGTGTGAGACACATGGAGATACTGGAGAGAGTCCAGTGAAGGGCCACGAAGAGGCTGGAGCACCTCTGCAGTGAGGAAAGGCTGGGGGCTGTTGAGCCTGGAGAAGAGAGGGCTCTGAAGAGTCTTGTCAATGCACATCAACACCTGCAGGGAGGCTGCCAAGGGGATGGTGCCAGGCTCTTCCCAGTGGTGCCCAGGACCAGAGGCCATAGTCACGCACTGGAAGACAGGAGGCTCCCTCTGAACGCTTTTCCCTGTGACAGTGAACAAGCACTGGCACAAGCGCTTGGGCAGGGGGCTGGGAAAAGGGTGACCTTCAGTGGTGCTTCCAGCCTCACCGTTCCGTGATCCCGTGAACACCCCTCCAAGTAACATCACGTGCTGATTACGACAGCCAGACTGTGGCTGAGGGGAGCTGCCTTCTCATCGTGATGAAATCCTCTCTCATCAGTGTGTTGCAGTCACATTTTAAGTATTTGTGTCTTGCTTCCATTGTACTTACCTATTTTTTGATGCTTGGACCTCCCTTGGTGTAAACTTACAGATGATCCAAGTGTCCACTTCTGTAGGCAACGCCTGGAGCGGGGCAGCATAGGGAAGGGTGTCACTGGTTAACATCTGCCCAGGTCAACCAGCTTTTGATCTGGGAAGAACCAGTTGTCTCAGACTCTGCTCTTGACTTCTCTGCAGACTGTGTCTGCCAGTAAGCTGGTGTTTCCCAGAGGGGTTTTGTTGTTCTTTGGGAATGCCCAGATGCAGTCTGGTTTCCTTGGCATTAGAATTAAGCTGCTGTAGGTTGTTCAAACACTTCACAGTGTTTTAATGGGGATTAAAATTAGATTCTAGAAGATGGGGAGACAAAATGAAGAGTCCATTGTTGTAGGGAGGACTCTAGACCTGCAAGTTTGATTGCTGTGGCAAGAATATCAAAACTTAGCATCACAATTTTTTTTTTTTTTTTTTCCTTAAAAGTTGTTTCAAAAGTCAAATGTATTAGTTACAGGTTTTGGCAGGCCAGGCTCCTTGTACTGCTGTGTGGCTCTCCATGCCCTCACCTTTTCAGTGATAAAATCTTACTGAATGTGGTTGCAAATCGTAGTGAAGGTATAGAACGTGATGTCTTCCTTCAGACTGCTGCAGAAATGGAGACTGAAGAGCAGGGAAAAGAATGCTGAAGTCTATATAGAAATTCAAATTCCTACAAGGAGACCCCCTGATTGGAAGGATGTCTTTCCTACCTAACTTGGTTCTGTTGGGGAAACTGTCAAAAATAAAAACTTATGTTCTTTTTATAGCACTGACAGATCCAAATGCATCGGCTGCCCAGCAAGCTGTGCTTCAGCAGCAGCTCAACAGCTTGACTTACTCGCCCTTTGGAGACTCTCCGCTCTTTAGGAACCCCATGCCAGACCCGAAGAAGAAGGAAGAGGTAAGTGCACATAAACATTAAACTCATTTTGTGGGTAGGATTTGAAATTACTTTATGTTTTGTGCTCACTGTCTCTCCTTATGTAGGCAGTGAGCAGCAGAATAACTTGCCATCTGTATACTCGTACTGGTGCAGTGGCTTTTTATGCATCCAGGATGCAAACTGCTTATCCTGTGGCTTTGTTTACTCCTTTTGACAACATCAGAGCCTCAGCTTTGGAGTTCTTGTTCTGCTCACTGCTGCTAGTTGGGAATAAAGATGGATAATTGCCCGTGCTTGCAGTATTTTTAGTGCTTAGCTTGAGCTTTGCTTGTGACGTCTCAGGACAGTCTCTGACAAAGCATACCCTGTTGGTTTGTTTTAAAAGACAAGAAAAGAAATACTTTTCAAGACTTTTTAAGTGTTAAGGGAAGGTTCTAAATGTCTGCTGCCCCTGGGCAAATCCCAGGGGCTAGAGATGACTCCAGTCCAGCTGGAGTAATTAATTACAGCCCAGCTGCTGGAGCCCAGCACAGCATACCCAGAGACCCAGGGGGACTCGAGCTAATGGACGTGGCTGTTGCTCCTGTTTGCAGGTGCCAGCATGCCATGCTGAAGGCAAGGCAGTGCCTTCAGCAGCACCCACGTGGAGCGCTGCCAGGGCTCCCATAAAACATAAGCATGTACAGGCACGTCCCCTTCCTCCTCTGTGACTGGTAGGGGTTGAAGCTCCCTAGTGACAGCACACGTGGTCACGCCCTCTAGAGTTCGTTGGTGTTGAGCATTAGCAGGGCCCCTCTGTCCATCCCATAGCCCTGCCCAAACCTCGAGCCCTCTTACCTGCTCCACGGAGCAGGCCAGCCCACCTTGAATACTGACTGCAAGAAGATGCATGCACTCAGGCACCACATGCCATGGGCACCACTGATCCCTTGATAGCAGCCTGAGCCCTCTGCCTCTCCGATATCCCTGCCAGGACCCAGGGCCTCCTACTCGTGGGCTAGCCCTGTGCTCTTGTTCCAGTGGGTGTTGCTGAGACCTTCACTTGCCTTAGACCCCCCCCAGCAGCTACACCTGGGACACAGGCTGGTCCCACTGCAGGGGCTGGGGTAGACACCCTCCTCTGCTCCAGGCCCCGAGGCTTCCCCTGGCTCCAGCTGCTGGCACCAGAGGCCCAGGGTGCCCATGCCATCCATCTGACTCCAGTAGCTGTCTCCAAAGTCACTCAGCCTGACAGGAGGTCCAGGCTGGCTCTCTCCAAAGCTATGCCTGTAGTTTCATAATAGCCCATCAGGGAGTGACTGGAGACTCCTGGTCTTTGCTGTTGTTTCCCTCACCTGTGGTCACCAGCTTTGTGTCTCTGTTTTTGTTTGTTGCTTCGCCCTTTACTCATTCCTTTGCTCGACGTGCCAGCACTCTTCCTGTCCAGACCCTTCCAGTAAGTGGTGTGAAAACTCCAATTCTACCTCTTTTTCTTTCAGAGGCTGAAGCCCACGAATCCAGCAGCTCAGAAGGCTTTGATGACCCCCACCCACTACAAACTGACTCCCCGTCCCGCCACCAGAGTGCGACCGAAAGCGCTGCAGTCAGCTGGCTCCGCCAAATCTCATCTTTTTGATGGTCTCGACGATGACGAGCCAGCCCTAACCAATGGAGTATTCATGCCAAAGTTAGTTTTTTCTTTTGTGTATGTCGAAGGGAGGAGGTGGTGCAAGAAATCTTCTGATTGGATTGAGTAAAATCCTAAATTCCGTGACTGTGGTGTGACCTGGTGCAAACAGGAATAGCAATAACAGGTTTTGTGTAAAATTGGAATGGAAGTGTTTTCTGTAGAGGAGATGAAAATTTTCAGGTTGAACTGTTAAGGCCAAATAAGCTTTAAAATGAGGTCACACTGTGGTTGGAGCAAAGCTTCTGTAAAGTCAGTTGGGAATTACTACAAGGAAAGGTGGGTCAGTGTAGCATTTCCTGCTTCCGAAGCAGAAGTGTCATTAGGTTTGGTGACACATCCCATGCCAGGCCTGATTTGTGACACTTTCCTAGTCCAGCACTGGTTCTGTCTCACCCACACACGGGTGTTTCTGGGAGAAGTGGATAACAATGCTGCAGATCTGCCCCACTGAAGCTTTGGGGTTCAGTCTGGAAGGGCAGCAGTGGCAATCAAACGAGAAGGGTTGGGAAAGCTTTGGAGTTGAGTTAAAAACAAACAGCAGCAAACTTTGAGGAAAGATGCGTCAGTCATCGAAAGCCTGTCTCAGCACAGGCCTCTTGAAAACGTTTTGTAACTTTTGTGAACTTGGGTTGTCTTCTAATTTAGCTGGAACCATCAGCTCACTTTCCAGGGAGAGAGCAGAGTGTAGAATTACTCAGTGTTTTATTGAAAAACACCAAATGAACAGAAGATGAGAACAAAGGGATACTTAAGACTTTTCTGAGTGTAGTTGACACGGATGTTCAGGGTCTTCAGACTGGAGGCAGTGAACCCTAGCCTGGCCATGGATCTGCTCCTCATGTGACCCTGTAGTGAAGAGCCACCTGCACCTGTGGGCCAGACTGTCTGTGCAGGGCTCTGTGCTTCCACAGGAAAAGCTGGTTTTTAAAACAGACAATACTGTGGTTTGCTGAACTTGGGTTTTGAAGCTTTCAGTGGCTTGTGCTTTTTCACACTTACTTAGAAACCAAAGCCTTGAATGGAATTCTAAGGAGTTCAGTATCTCAGCTACTGTAGGGCTCTTACAGAAGGCTTGGTATGTCCTGAGTGTGGGAGCAGGTGTTCTACAGCTGGTTTCTGGTCCCTGGAGCCTGCGAATTCAGCGTGAAATATATATTGATGCAGTGGATCTATCCAAATTTCTCTTTGGTGATGTGATTTTTTTTTGTTGGTTTGTTGTTTTTTTCCTTTTTTAGGAAGAGCATCAAAAAGCTGGTTCTGAAGAATCTCAACTGTCGGAATCTCTTCTCACCTGTCAATCGAGAAAATGAAGACCTGGCGTCTCCGTCGGAGTACCCGGAGAATGGCGATCGGTACGTTGGTTCATCATGCAGGCGTTTATGCTTAGGAGAAATGCAGACTGGTTATGCCTGTCTCTAAATTATTATTAATAGAGCAGGTAGTTCTTTTCAGGGTGTCATCTTTGCTGTTCATTGGAATCAAGTTGACCTGTTGTGAGAATCATTTCCTCTTAAACCAGCCGTGTGTTCTTCCCATGTGGTCACGTACTGATGCATTCCCTCCCAAATCAGGAGTTCACAGAGGGATGACGTATCTTCTGGATGCGTCTCTCTTCATTCCTTGTAGTGAGAAATTAGGCCATTCCTTGAGGGCAGTGATAGACCTGACCCTGAGGTGAGAAGAGCCCCTCCTTCTGTTTAGTCCTCAGTAGAGTGGGAATTGCAGGGAAGCTCCACTGATCCAAACATCTCATGGTAGTAATGTATTTTCTGCACATTAAAATGAGGAATCTCTAAGGCCTTTTCCACCCCAGAAGCCTGAATACCTACTTCCTCTAAAAGCCAGTGGCCATATTTCAGATGAACCCTTTTTTTTTTTTTAATCAGAGGCTGTAAAAATTCCTGACCAGCTCAACACTTTGATTTTATTTAAAGCTGCTAGAAGTAAGAACCGATTATGGGAGCAGGGAGCCTTGTTTCTGGTCACCTCAGTCCCACCTGGGCAGTTCCTAATGGGGCAGAGGCATTTGTTAGCCGTGTTGCCAACAGGCAGCGCTCTGAAGCTGCTGGTTTGGAGCGACTCTCACAACAGTGTTCTCAAGTTGAATTTGGTCATGGTGCCTGCAAGGCTAAATCAGCCTCCTCTTCTAGAAATCAGCCTCCTCTTCTAGAAATCAGCCTCCTCTTCTAGAAATAAGCCTCCTCTTCTAGAAATCAGCCTCCTCTTCTAGAAATCAGCCTCCTCTTCTAGAAATCAGCCTCCTCTTCTAGAAATCAGCCTCCTCTTCTAGAAATCAGCCTCCTCTTCTAGAAATCAGCCTCCTCTTCTAGAAATCAGCCTCCTCTTCTAGAACAATATGCATTTTAGGCGCAAGAGCCTGTAACAACTCTTGGAATCCTTCAGATGGGAAGGGAGCTTTGAGGGGGTCTCTGTTCCTGCAGCAGTCTCAGCACTGAATTCAGACGTGGTGACTGTGGCCTCTGTCCAGTTGAGTCTCTCAGGGCTGCATGAACAGAGATGGTGCAGCCTCTGAGTCCCTGCTGCAATGCCTGACTGTCCTCATTGCTTTCCCTGTTCCCATTTGACCGTTGTTTCTCATCCTTCTGCCGTGTGTATCTGTGGAGAGCCTGAATTTCATCTTTGCCGGAAGGCTGCTGTTACACACCCCCCTTGCAAGCCTTTTCTCCAACTGAGCAACCCATTTCACTCCAGCTCCCCTCCCAGGGCATGTGCTTGAGTTCCATGACCATCGTGGTACCCCTCTCCTGGTCTTTCTTGCAGCAGGAGCCCCAGATGAGATGCCAGGTGGCAGAGGTTGTGTGCAAGGGCTGAGCGAAGAGGAATAATCACTCCCTCAGTCTGCTGGCACTGCCATTCACTTTTTATATGAAAGAGATCAGAATTTTAATGTTGACATAAGTCCCTTAGAACTAAATAATTCAACTTATTCTTCAATTCTTCAGGTTCTTTTTGTCGGTACCTCCCGATGACAACCTGAGACAAGATGGTGAGCGAGAGGAGGAGGAGGACCATCATGAAATCACTCGATTTTACACGAACCCCATCGCCAAGCCCATCCCGCAGACCCCGGAGAGCACGGGGCACAAACAGCCGAGCAGCGTGGACGACACCATCGTGGCTCTGAACATGCGGGTGGGCTTGCGGAACAGCCTGGAGGGCAGCAGCGAGGATGCCTCGTTTCACGATGATTCTCTTCAGGATGAGCGTGAGGAAGAGCCCGAAACTGTCCATCATCTGCACCCTGCAGGTCAGTCTGTGTGTGGGCAGCAGGTCTGCAGTTCTGACAGTGCTTCATGTGCGGTTCATTAAAGTTCTCTTTTGCTGTTTTAGACCCTCAGCTTTTTCTCTTTTCCTTTCCCTCCTCTTTTCTTTGGAATACAAATCACAGAAGGGTTTGGGTTGGAAGGGACTTCAAAGACCATCCAGTTCCAACCCCCTGCCATGGGCAGGGACACCTTCCACTACACCAGGTTGCTCTTACCTAGTACAGAAATTTTTTTCTGCTGAGTCAATGAGCAATTAAATTTCATCAACCAATTTTATATTAGACTGAGGTAGTGAGATGCAGGAGGAGGAGGAGGACCCAATCTGCGATTGTTCTGCAGTAGTAGACTGAGCTGACTGTCGTTCAGGAGCAAGAGAAATCTAATGCTTGGTAGTTACCAAGGTGCAAACTGCATGGTGGAGTTTGGCAGGAAAGCAGTGGACCATAGAACATGGCCATTTCTGTACAGCGTGTGTTTTCAGTGCGGTCGGTTCTGATCTCAGGGTTTAGTGAAACTGAAACAGATAAACTGTGAAAATGTTGTGAGAAGTCCCTTAACTAAGACTTTGTGACTGGTGAACGGGTGGGGGGTGTTAGGTTGTTCGGTGTGGTGTCTCTTCGTTTTGCCTCGAGTGATCTGCAGAAAGTGAAGAGGAAGAGATCCTGTCAGGTAGAGTGTGGCATCGAATGAAACTGGCAGGTGACATCTTCAGAAGCCCCGGTGACAAGAACTTGCAGATGCAAAAGGCTTTTGTGGATTTTAAAGATCAGTGGGCAAACCGATAGCTGAAAATGCTTTGGAGATTGTTGCATGCGGAGATGCTGCATCTTGGTCAGCAGGTGCCTCAGCCCCCGGGTTATGAGAGCGGGGACAGTGTGTCTGTCCAGTGGTGCTGTATGTGTCTGTGTTTTCCCTTTTACCGACACATCTGCTCCTGCTCTCCGATGCCGGATTGCTCAGCTGGAAGAACCTGGCGTAGCAGTTGTCTTACACTTGGCGCTGAAGGCTGCGGAAATAAGGCATTCTGATTTCTGTTTGCTCTTGTTGCACTGATCCTCAGTTTGGTTGGGACCTTCGGTTGTCCAGGCTTGCAAAGAAGTGGAAATGAAACTCTTGAAATGCTGAAGTTGGGAACTTGCTGACAACCCAGTTCTCACGGATGGTTCTGTTGCAGGAATTGTGCTAACACGAGCCGGCTATTACACCATCCCCTCCATGGAGGAGCTGGCTAGACTGACCGGTGACAGAAATGAATGTGTCGTGACAGGCTTCACCATAGGCCGCAGAGGTGAGCACAGACGGCTTTTCGCGATGCTTCAAGTTGAACCAGTGGCTTGAAAGCTGTGGAACCTGACTCTGGGTTCCGTGCCCTCAGTGTGATTACAAACAGTGTCCTTGCATTGTGCACAGCTTGCACCGAAGGCTTGTCGTGTTTCACACTGGGAGCACTGGCAGCCTGTGTTATGAGATGACTTGAGGAGCTCGAGTGTGAAAAGAACAAAAGCACCTGCAGCTTTTGAGATGCCCGCTGTTCCTAAACAGAAAAGTTGTAAAATCCCCGCTGGCTGGAGCGTTGCTGCAAACCTGATCTTATCGCCTCCATCTTAGTTGTTACCTGCACTGGAGCTGGCTGAGCTCTGCTGAAGATCCTTCAGCCCAAACTGTGTTCTTCACTGCTTTTGTTCAAGGAAAAAAATCCCATGGTGTATGCTGGTTTTAAAACCCTGTTTCTAAACGTGCCATAAAGCTGAGGGTACACTTAGTATTTGTGTTGGCAGGACGAATAGCCCGGTGATAGCACAGATCATGGAATGGTTTGGGTTGGAAGGGACCTCAAAGATCATCCAGTTCCAACCCCCCTGCCATGGGCAGGGACACCCTCCACTACACCAGGTTGCCCAAAGCCCCATCCAACCTGGCCTGGAACACTGCCAGGGATGGGGCAGCCACAAGTTAAAATAAATCTATCTGCCAAAGGATTGGCTATAAAAAAGTGGGTAACACGTGTTGGTACTTCCACACTAGGAAGCAGGAATCACTTGTATGTTGTTCTGGAGAGATAACAGAGCTCGGGGTAAGGTGGGGAAAGGAGGTGTAAAGCAGGAACGTAGGTTCTCTGGTGTGAGATTTTTTTCGTGGACAGACCGATGTTCTGGTTTGTTTTGCAGGTTACGGATCAATTTACTTTGAAGGAGAGGTGGATCTGACTAACTTGAATCTGGACGACATAGTCCACATCCGTAGAAAAGAGGTCATCGTTTACCCCGACGACGAAAGAAAGCCGCCTGTTGGTGAAGGTTTGAACAGGTGAATTTTAAACACGCGCCGCGCGGGGACAGTGGCTGCCGAGGATGCTGGGGATGCTGCTGGCCATCCCCTGTGTTTGCAGGCAGCTGCCAGGAACTCTGAGCCCGAGGTGTGCGCTCAGGCTGCGGCGCTGTGCAGTTACTGAATTTTCTGAATTTACTTGCAATTTTCTGAACCAGGAATTGGGTCGAAAAGCAGTTTTGAGCCCACATGGTCAATTCTCAGCTCCTGTGTGGGTACCGACCTTCGCAGCTGTGCCTCAGACCCTGTAGGCTCTTACACTTTTGTCTGCTGTTAACAGGCGAGCTGAGGTTACTTTGGATGGAGTCTGGCCTACGGACAAAACATCTCGTTGCCTGATCAAAAGCCCGGAGCGACTGGCAGAGATGAACTACGAAGGCAGACTGGAGTCTGTGTCTCGGAAGCAGGGTGCTCGATTCAAGGAATACCGCCCAGAGACTGGCTCGTGGGTGTTCAAGGTAGTGTTTTTGTTCTGAAGTGACTTAGAGAATATTGGAAGTAATCTGGAATGAGAGTCTCCTGAGAATTTAAAATTCCAAAGCTTTGCTAAACTTCTGTAAACTGTCTCAAGTCCTTCAGCTGTCATGCACGTGCGAGGTGGACAGTTAAAGCCCGCTCCTCGCTCGAGCCTTTCAGAAATGGATGCTTGAAATCTCTCTCCCAAGGTCTGACATATTTGCCTTTCTTGTTACACAGGTGCCACACTTCTCCAAGTACGGCTTGCAGGATTCGGATTCGGAGGAAGAAGATCATACTTCAAAAGTGGATACCAAGAAGTTGAAAACGGCACCTGTGCCGCCCCCAGGGCACCTGCCACCCCAGCAAATGACCCTGGATGGCAGCAAGCCAACGCCTCCGTCTCAGGTAGAAGGAGGGCAGTGGCTAACAGGGAATTCATAAAAGGAAAATGGAAGAATAGCTGGTGCCAAGGGAGGGGCTGTTGAAGTAAAAGTGGTCTGGAAACCAAAGAGCAGAAGTTGACACAACCTCAGTAGCTCTTCTGAGCGCTTGATGAGTGCTTGCGTGATCTTTTCCGTTAGGATACTTGACGTTTCACGCTGCGGGTGTTTGGGGATGGGAAGCTTTAAACCCTTGTTTCCTGTTAAATTCTGGTCAAGATTGAGGTTGGCATATTTGCACCGCTGACGGAAGAGAGCTTGTTTTTGTGAATATTGACTATGTGCTACGTAATTGTAACACCTCGTGCTGCCCACCTTGAGAATGGTTCGGGCATTAATTTGACTTGGCCGTCGTTCAGTGTGCGAGACTGCGTGCTTTATATTTTAAGAACCTGCTCTATTTTTATTAAAAATTACCTTTTTAAGGCTGGTTATACACCGAATTTTTAAATGTATTTGGGTTGGATGTGGCTGCTTCTGAAGCTTTCTGAAACCATCCTCAGCGCGTGTCTCTGTCTTACGAAGGGAAGGTGGCATTTTGTCCAGTTCACTGGTGACTTCTTGAGGTCTAGTGCCAATTTTCAGAACTCCTTTTACGTGGGTTCAAAGGTTAGTCTGATTGCAGCTGATATGCTGGCATTTTCTGAGTGGAATTAGTATGGATATGGTCAAGCTAAATTAGGAGAAGCTTCATTGCGGGTAAAATTCAGCCTATTTGGAAGGCATCCTGCCATCCATGGGATAGAATATACTCTGTGCCAGGTGCTAATGGGAAACGTTTGTGGTAGCTTTTTGAACTAACTTGTCATAAAACAGAAAGCAAGAGCAGGGTAGTTTTGGTTTGTTGTTTTTTTTCTTTTCCCCCAAAACTGGGTTCTCGATTGCCTGGTTGTGAAAGTAAGCCCTCAGCAGCTAGGGTGTGCAGGAGGCTGAGCAGAGGGTGTCCAGGAGCTGGACAGGACGTACCGTGAGTTTTTTGTCACTGTGCATAATCAGATGTTCTGTTTTCCCCTTCAGTAATCCGTGACCACAGCGAAAGGCGCGCTGTAAGCTCGCAGCTCGCTGCGGCGTGGGTCCTGTGCCACCGTGCTGCTTGGCCTGTGGCTGGGCTTCCTTATTTGTTCGGGAAGCTGAGGAGGAGAGTTTTACTTCTGCATCTCTGAAGTCAAAGCATGAAAAACAGCTCAAGAGGCAGTACTGTCAGATAGGCTGAACACTTCTCTTTTGGCTTCTTTTTTTCTGCTGTGTCTAGTCCTTTTGAAACTGGAGACGTTCTAGCAGCATTTCTCTTCATTGGCTGTTGGCTTGGGGTAATTCAGAGCCCTTCTGGACAAGGGTCCATTCGTCGCATCAGGAGATACAACAAATCACACTTATTGCTTGTGGAAAAAACCAATATATTTACTCCTGTTGTAGGAGGGTGGTCCAGGGTCCCAGCGGTAGGAGTCCAGGGTCCCAGCGGTAGGAGTCCAGGGTCCCAGCGGTAGGAGTCCAGGGTCCCAGCGGTAGGAGTCCAGGGTCCCAGCGGTAGGAGTCCAGGGTCCCAGCGGTAGGAGTCCAGGGTCCCAGCGGTAGGAGTCCAGGGTCCCAGCGGTAGGAGTCCAGGGTCCCAGCGGTAGGAGTCCAGGGTCCCAGCGCAGCGGTAGGGGTCCAGGGTCCCAGCGGTAGGAGTCCAGGGTCCCAGCGGTAGGAGTCCAGGGTCCCAGCGGTAGGAGGACGGTTCAGGATCCCAGCGGTAGGAGTCCTGGTCGCAGTGTGCTCTTTGAGCAGAACGTGCTGCTGTAGTGCCACATGAGGTGAGCTGCCACCTCTTCTATGGGTTCTGGCTCCGGACAATCCCAGCTGAGTGTGCAGCTGCTGCCTTATCGCTCCTCTTGGCTAACTAACACCTGCCAGTTCGTCCTGCTCTCGGAAAGTACGTTCCTTGAGCGTTTGTGTTTTATTTGAGATGAACACAGGGCTGGTTGACACTGGCCTGCGTTACCACCGCTCGGTTTTCCTGCTGGGTGCTTGTTCGGATTAATGGGAGCCAGAGCAGATGTTTTAAGCAGACAGAAATATTGGGAATACGTGTGATTTATTCAGGCCTGTCTTACAGATTCAAAAGTGCTTAGCAAAAACTTGTCGGATTAATTAACCTCTTTGACTTGCATGCCATTAACTAAGGTTTGCATTTCTGAAAACAGGAAAAAAAAAAACACCTTAATTTCCCAAACCTCTGAGAAACTTATAGCATAGCTTAAAAACTTGCCAAACTCCAGGTGTGTAAAGCACCTGAAAATCATGTTCTTTGGTCTGTAGAAGCATTTAGGATCTAAACTTGGGGTTTTTTTAGGTCCCTCAGTAACTTGAATATTAATTAATGTATTAATGTTTCAAGGTCCACAGGAAATAGTTACACCAGGGACCAGCTGCATTAAAGCGCAATGAAGGGAGCAGTGAAACTTTTGTGTGTTTGACCATATTTTGACTTGTAAATCTGTTCTGTGCGCTGTGGGCATACTGGGATGCCACTGGCTAAGGCTCCTGCCACGTCTGCCATCGGGTTCTATCTTTACAGCCCCCCTGGTCTCCTTTTATCTGCCTCATCTGATAACCTTCATCGCGTTTCTTGGCTGGCTCTAATGAGCAAAGGAGCAGCTGCTTGAACACGCTCTGAAATCCCTTTGCATGATTTCGGGGCACTATCCGCCGCGGTTTCCTTGCTCATCCGTATGCAACACTCCGGAGCGTTGTTTCAGCAGCCTGCACATCGTTGTTTCTGGAAACCAAGTAAGCTGTAAGCATGAATCTTTCACAGGGCGCTGGTATCTAAGCAACAGGGGATGGGAATTGTTAAGACTGGAGCAAAACCAGTGCACGGGAGCCCAGGTTTGGGGTTAGAGCCTGTCAGGAACCAAAGGGTCATAGAACCATCAAATGGTTTGGGTTGGAAGGGACCTCAAAGATCATCCAGTTCCAACCCCCCTGCCATGGGCAGGGACACCCTCCACTACACCAGGTTGCCCAAAGCCCCATCCAACCTGGCCTTGAACACTGCCAGGGATGGGGCAGCCACAGCTTCTCTGGGCAACCTGTGGCAGTGCCTCAGCACCCTCAGAGGGAAGAATTTCTTCCTTAGATCTCATCGAAGTCTCCCCTCTTTCAGATTAAATCCATCACCCCTAGTCCTGTCACTATGTACCTTTGTCAAAAGTCCTTCTCCAGGTCACCAGGTTAGAACCTGAAGGCCATTCAGCTAATGTGGCACAGGCTAATTACTCCTGGGCCAGGAGCTTCTCTTGGGTTGGCCAGTTAGCTGCACGATACCAGCAGTGAATGGCCTTCTCTAGGGGTTTTTGTCCTGTCAGACAGTTCCTGGTAGCAGAGCTGACACATGGTTGGATGGTTTGCAGTGTCCATCACTCTCCGTGGTTTGGTACCGGCATGGGGGCTCGCTGCTGTCACCAAGCCAGCAAGCTGGGCACAAGTGGAGGTGGTGACAGCGGTCAGAGATGGTTTCAGCTGTCTGCTGCTTGTTTGTACTGGCTGAACGTTTTCTGGCCCTGCCTGGAGCGAGAGTCCACCTTGTCTTAGGTAGTTGAAGGTGTGTCTACAGGTCACCTCGGGCTTGTCACAAAGGCGATGCCGTGTGATCGTCTTCAGAAAAACCATAAAACTCATTCTTCTTCCTGCCTTGGGCTAGTCGTAGAGATGAGAAATTTAGCTGCAGACTGGAAGAGAAGTGGTATATTTAACTCTCTAACTACTGATGTGCTAGTGACAAGCAGAGTAGCATTGGAAAGACTGAACAACTTCCTGGTCCAATGACAGTTGTCCTGGTTTAAAATGCAAAACAAAACCCAAAAAAAACCTGAACCAAACCCCGTTTTTACATGTGTGTGCACACGCACTCTGTGACCCAGTCTTGCACCATCTGGAAGGGGCTCCTGTCCACTTAAAACTTTGTATTTCAAAGAACTTAACTTGATGTTTTTGATTTGTACAGTGTCACAGCTGGAGAAACTAAGCAGTGGCTCATCTGCTCATCAGCCACCAGTGGTGCCACAAGCTCATGCTGTACAATTGCTACTTTTAAACTGGTTGCTCAGTCATCTAAAAGGTCCCAGCTTGAACTGAGGCAGAGGAAACTTTTCTTTGTGTGTTAGCGTTTTGAGGGAGAAGGGGAGGAAGGCAGGATGCCCAGAACTCTCTTCCTTTTTGTTGGTCGCATGAAATATGGAAAGCTGAAGAATAGTTTCTTAAACCGAATGGCAGAACTTGGTGAACTTCAGGAGGGCATCACTGAACCAGGACTTCTCCTTCCCTTTAACTTGTGCTGGTCTGTTACAACTCTGAAGAAAAAGGGAATAGGTTATATATATATATTTATCTCTAAACTTCATGTGGAGTCTTGACACGAGCAAGGGAGCACTCTGCTTCGTTTGCAGGTGATTAAGTACTCTTTCTGCAAACTGTTGCAATCTGTTGTTGTCTGACGTGGCCTCTGCATGTGTCCCCAGATCCCCGAAGTGGAGCAGCTGGGCAGGGTTGTGGAACTGGACAGTGACATGGCAGACATCACCCAGGAGCCTCCCCAGGAGCCCGTTGTAGAAGATGACATAATAGAAGAGCCAGAGGCAGTGCCTGCTTCGACCCACATCGCCTCCACCCTGGGTATTAACCCCCATGTCTTACAGGTGAGTGTCCTGCCGTTTCCCCTCTCTGATTTCCTTTCTCTTCCTGGAGAAGAGAAGGCTCCGGGGTGATCTTATCGCAGCCTTCCAGTACCTAAAGGGGCGACAGGAAATCTGGGGAGGGATATTTTACAAGGGTGTGTAGTGACAGGACACGGGGCAATGGCTTTAAACTGAAAGAAGGGAAATTTCAATGGGATCTAAGGAAGAAATTCTTCCCTCTGAGGGTGGTGAGGCACTGGCACAGGTTGCCCAGAGAAGCTGTGGCTGCCCCATCCCTGGCAGTGTTCCAGGCCAGGTTGGATGAGGCTTTGGGCAACCTGGTGTAGTGGAGGGTGTCCCTGCCCATGGCAGGGGGGTTGGAACTGGATGATCTTTGAGGTCCCTTCCCACCCAAACCATTCTGTGATTCCATGAAACAGAGGACTTTGATAACTCTAATGTCTCAGTTTGCCTCCCAAGCGCACTTATATGCCACCTAGTAATAAACTGTAAATCACACCTGTAGTTTGACTAAAACTTAACACGTTAGACTTACATGTCTATCATCTTAAGATGAGAATTCAGACTTCCAAATTTTGAAGTGTGGGCAATGTAATAAGCTAAACTGATAGCCAGCCAGGACTGCCCTGGGCCCAGTGTTTGCAAAACAAGGTGATAGGATAACTGGTCTTGATTTGGGTTTTGGTGTTGGTGAAAGAGTAGTACCTGGAACCCGTGTGGGTTTCTACTGCGTTTTTAATTTGTGAGGAAAAAACAGTGAAGGTGCTACTGAAGCTGAAAAACAAGTAGATAGAGCTAAGATCTCAGAAAACATGATTATTTTGGGATGTCACACCCATCCTATCAAGTACTGTGACACCAATTTAACTGGTAGTTTGTAAAAGTCTGTCATACTGACAAGCTTGCTTTCAGTTCTCCTGAACCGTGTGCCTTCGCTGTCACCTGGGGTGTTTGTGGCACGAGTGTGTTGTCATACGGAACGTGTAGAAGTGACCTTGTTGGGAAAGGAGCTGCTGAGATCAGCTGCTGCTGTCCGAGTGCTTGCTAACGCGTGGGCTTGCCTTGCCACCTCTTCAGATTATGAAAGCTTCCTTGCTTGCTGATGAAGATGACCTCGATTGGATCCTGGATCATTATCCTGGGAAGCAACCTGTGAAAACGGATACTTCTCAAGAGATCTGTTCTCCGAGGCTCCCTATTTCAAAATCACAAGGACAGAAAAGATACTCAGGTATTGTGAGAAACCACGTATTGTGTGACAAAAGAGCTTGATTCTGATATTAACAGGCAAAATCCTGTTGCTAGTTGAACATACGGCGGAACCGTTGTGTGCTGGGGGGGTCAGCTTTGGCCAGCAGCAGGTGCCCACCCAGCTGCTCTCTCTCACACTCCTCATCAGGATGGGGGGAGAAAACTGGATGAAAATGAGATTGTTTTGGTTGCGACAGTAACTGGTAAACAGACGTGAGTAAAATTAATTTACTGACAGTTAAAGTAGGTTTGGGTAGTGAGAAACAAAGAGAAATTAAAACAACGCTTTCTTACTCTGCCCCCCTTTTCCCAGGCTCAGCTCCTTCATTCCCAGCTCCTCTACCTGCTCTGGTGCTGGAGCACCTCTTCTCCTCCTCTTTCACTTGACCTGGTGCTCACACTGCTGGTTTTGCTTTTCTTTTTCTGCCTGCATGGTGTTTTCTGCCCTTTTTGAAGTTCTCACAGAGGCACCACCAACTTTGCTGGTTGGTTTAGAGGTGCCACACTAACTCCTCTGATGGACTCAGCTGTGTCCAGCACAGGGCAGCCTCTGGCCTCTTCTCACAGGGAGCACCCCTGCAGCCCCCCCTGCCACTGAAACCTTGCTGTTTACACCCAGCATATCCACTAACTGGGGATTCCAGTAGGAATAATACCACCTAACAAGCACTGAGTTGCTTCCTGAATTAAATGAGCACACCTGAGATGTTTCCCCAGGGACAGTTTCAGCCCTGTCCCTGCTAATAGCAATCAGTGTCTACTTTCTCTGCGAGGTGCTTCTGTTCTAACGGTCTATGACAATATCCGTTAAATCAGTAACTTTGGAAAGTGCGAATCTGGGGTGAGTATCTGTACTGGTGTTGCTGAAACACCGTGTGCTGCTGTCTGGATAGTGCAGATCAGGCTGTGCACGGTGGGTGTTGCGGGTCTCGGTGCTGCAGGTAATCATGCCTGGCTACATCTTGTCGTCACAAACCACAGACAAGGCAAACGTTTTCCCTGGCTGCTCAAGAAATACTGAAACAGCTTTAAAATACCAGAAATGTTCTGCTTAAAAGTAAGCACCCCGTTCATTGAAAGATTCTCCTTGCTTCTTCCCTCTAGCTGGTGGGCTGCTGCAATCCAAGTTTGCTAATGTGATTTTCCAGCCACCGAGTGCTGCCCCGCAAGATCTCAAGGCACCAGGGACCCTGAGCAGTCCCCCTCCTACTGCCCTCTGGTCGGCGACTTCTCCGTTGGCATCTGTGTTCACTGTCCCTCCCTCAGTCCCCGAAGTACAGATTAAAACAGTCGGTGTCCGCAGGCAGCAGGGCCTCGTGCCTCTGGAGAAGTCCATCACCTACAGGAAAGGGAGGCTCCTGATGGATATGGGACTCTTCATGGGGCGCTCGTTTCGTGTTGGTTGGGGACCCAACTGGACGCTTGTCAATTGTGGAGATGTACTGAGTGGATCAAGTGAAGTGGAAGATCTTCAGTGTGAGTCCGTGGAATACGGATTCCTGCCAACTCCTGTTGCTCCAAAATCGTGAGTAGTAGTTTCCTTCAGGATGGTTTTGACATACTCTCCCTTCATTTTTGGAAGAATCCTAATTGTAGGTCAGTACTCCCTTCTGACACGCAGAGGCGGAGATTTCCTTCAGGTTGCTGCTTTACGAAAATCTGTATCTCAAAGACCTGGAATAGTGTAGTAAGGGTAGTTTTGGGTTTGTTTGTTTTTTTTTTTAACAAGTAAATAGCACCATCATCCAGCAAAAGGTTAAAGAGAAAAAGTTCAGAATTGTCCAGGAAGCTTCTAACTGGCTGTTGATTCTCACTGAGGATATCTGCACCACCTAAGAAATTCCTTGTTCAGCTTCTGAATTCAGATACTCAGATGCCCTCAGTTCTGCTTGTCCGTAAAGCAGTCGGTGCACAGACCTTGCCTGGGTACCTAAACTGGAATATAGCTAGAGCTTCTACCGTTGAAGTCTTTCAGAAAACTGGTCTGGTTGATGTTCTCCAGCACATCTGACTTGCTGGCAGAATGAGGTGCTCTCACAAAAAGCACTGGGGCATGGTAAGGTGCTTATTGCCTCTTGAGAGCTGGAAGCACCCAGCTCAATGAGGTTTGTTTGCCAAAGTCTGGTTCTGAATCCCAGGTGGTGTAGCGAGGTTGGTTGTGCCTGGCTGTTGACCTTGGATCCTGTGTCTTCCTGCCTTTGTTAAAATCAGGACAAACTCAGCAGGTGCAGCTGCTCCTTGATGGGTGCAGTTGGCTTGCACGGAGAACAGTTCAGAACATTACTCTTGGTTTTTATCTTCTTTTTACCTCCAGACTCTCAGAATCCTCTTTCAAGGTTCACGTGGAGAAGCTGAGCTTAGAACAACGGCAGGTGGACAGAGACCAGATGTATCTCATCCCTCTGGAGATAAAGCTGAAGCACAGCACTGTCCATATGGATGAGCACTGTCCTCTTCTGGCCCCCAACCCCGGAGTTTCTGCTATCCACGACTATGCCGACTGGGTTAGGAAGGTGTCTGAGGATCCTGCTGTGACAGAAAGTGAGTGTGCAATGATTCTTTTCACAGTGGGTGGTAGTGAATCTGGAAAACTGTCCAGATTGCATCGGAGCGGTGCAACCTGAATAAAACAGAAAACCTGATCGGAGCTCAGCGTTCTTTCTGAAAGCATAAACGTGGTTCCTGGCGTTTGGGAAGCTAACTGGCTTCCTGCATCAGCTTGTAACAGTAGGAGATCCTGTAAGATTCCTACAAGGTTACGCTTATGAGACGTCTCTAAATATTCTTCTGCGTGTTTTCACTCCTTATGACTGGATAACTCTGTCCTGGCAGCTGTGGTGAAGCACTGGTGCTTGACGTGGACTTTATGCGAAGCCATTTGGGGGAACTTGAAGGAGCTGGAGGCCAGCTTGGAGGAGCCCAGTGAGTACCTGCTGGCCCTGGAGCGCAGGAGAGCCTTCTCTCGCTGGCTGTCGGAGACTGCTGCGGGACGGATCGAGGAGGAAGTCTCGTTGTCCCGACATGGGAATCACGTCGAGGCCGTGTTCAGCTGCCTGACTGGGAAGAGGATCGGTGAAGCTTGCAGGCTGGCCCAGCAGTCAGGTAAGATGCTGGAATTTCTCAGCTTTCTGGGGGTGAAGGAGAAGGAGGGGAGACACAAAGAGAATTCCAACTTGGAGATCTCGTAGTAACCGGCCCCTCTGAGTGAGGTTCTCCCGTGTCAGACTGTGGTTAAGGCGGGGGCTGGCTGGTCTGTGTGCTGCTCCAGGAACGTGTCAGCTCCGAGAGTCAGGCAGTGATGCCATCCGGTACTTGGTATTGCGCAGAAAGCCAGTTCCTCCTTTGGAAAGTTCTGTAATTACTGTTATTTTTAATTGAAGTGCTGTTAACTGCGTAACATTTGTTTTAAAAATGTATGTTGTTAGGCTAGTTTCATCTTGGTCTTTTATGTCGGCTCAAATCTTACAACTTATCGTAGAATCATAGAATGGTTAGGGCTGGAAGGGACCTTCAAAGGTCATCTAGTCCAACCCCCCTGCAAGGAACAGGGATATCTCCAACTAGATCAGGTTGCTCAGGGCCTCATCCAACCAGGCCTTGAACGTCTCCAGGGATGGAGCATCCACCACCTTTCTGGGCAACCTTTCCATTTGTGTCTCCTTTGGGGAGTCTGTTCTTCCCATCCTTTGCCTTCTCCCCTCACCTCCCTTTAGTAGATGTTCATGGAGTGGTTTATTTGATAAGAAATTTTGCACAAGAATCAACTGTGCAGCTGTAGGCTGCTCAAAGTGCCTGACGCTTCTGAAACAGCCAGCTGTGGCCCTGGTAGGTGGGAGGATTTGCCTGATGTGCTGCTGTCTCCCGTTCCAGGTGACCACAGGCTGGCTCTGCTCCTCTCCCAGCTGGCTGGCAGCCAGCCCGTGCGGGACCTCCTCACCATGCAGCTGGTGGACTGGCACAGGCTGCAGGCAGACTGCTTCATCCAGGAAGAGAGACTGCGGATCTTTGCCCTGCTTGCAGGAAAGCCTGTGAGTTCTGATACTGGGCTGGTTTGTTACTGGTTCGGCTTCCCCTTTGTGTCAGCTGTCCAGTTGAACCTGTGGCACTCAGCCACAGCATGTGGTACGCAGCAGGGACGGAGTACAAGGTGCTGATGGTTTGGTTTGGTTTTTTTGCTAGTGTAACCTCTTACTGCTGCATACCTGTTCCGTACCGACCGTTGTGGGATAGTTGGACTCAACTGAGTGATTTGTTTCTTTAGGTGTGGCAGCTGTCGGAGAGAATAAGCATCAATGTGTGCTCGCTGCTGGACTGGAAGCGTTGCATGGCTGTCCACCTCTGGTACCTGCTTCCACCAACAGCTTCTATTTCCAAGGCACTTGCCATGTACGAGTCGGCGTTTCAGGTAGGTCGGTCGTGCCTGGGTGGATGGAGACGTTACTCGGTGCCCCCGACTGCCTGATGCTGCGCTGAGACTTGTGCGAGCAGCCGAGTATCCCTGTGGCGGTGCCGAGTATGGAATTGCTTACGGATCCGTCATTTTGGTTGTCACAGCATCGAATCCCTTCACCAGCTGTAACAATGAGCTGCTGACTCAGTTCACCTTCATAGGAAGGTTTCTTCCCCCACTGGAGTGGGAATAAAGCACTAGGGTTGAACCTGTTGGTCATTCTGGTTACTGGAGAAGCTTAGGACCTGCTCTTTAGGGTGTTCTGGGAGTGACTCATTTGAAGTGCAGGACCTGGCACTTGATCTGGTTGAATTTCATACAGTTGGCCTCAGCCCATCAATCCAGTCTGTCCAGGTCCCTCTGTAGAGCCTTGTTTGTTGCTGTGGAGCTGTCAGCCTCTGTGTGCAGAAAGACAAAGGGTTCTGTTGAAAAAGGTGTTTAATCATTTAACTAAAGGTAGTTCAGCCCTTGATCCGGGTGACTAACGACAGCCCGAGCACAGCAGCGCGTCCGGCGACTCCGAATTGATGCTGCGTGGGTGTTGAGTGTGATCTGTGCACGCTGTGTGCCAGTGCAACGTGATCATCACTGCACAACACCGAGCTTTAGGTGCATCATGACGTGAGCTTAAGGTAGTGCTACTGGGTCAGAACTGGGGTGGTCTCACTGCAGCCCCATGGTGTGGAAGAAAAGCGGATACAGCTCATTTCCAGACCTTCAGGTAGGAGAGCTGGTAACTGGAAACCAGCAGGACGTGGGAGTGCCCTTCCAACCCAGATCTGGTGTTCTCACCAGCAGTGAAAATGTCAAGAGGGTTTTGGTGGTCTGGACTGGTTAGATGGTACAAACAACAGCAGTTCTCTCGCAGTTCCGGGCCCTGTAAAATGGTTCTTGGCGACTCGGTGCGTTCGGTGCCGGTGGCTTCGCCGCAGAGGGAGAGGCAGCTCGCAGGGATGCACCGTCCTTCACTCCATCAGGTCCCATGTGGTTTTCCAGCTACAAAGTCACTCAGAAATACAGGTTGTGTCTGTGAGAGCTGACTGTACCCCGCACGGTGGCTTTGAGGAGCTTGGTGTGAGGCGACATTCAGCTTTCCAAAGCATTTTTCGTGTTTTTAGCATCACGTCCGTGACTAGTTGCTGTGTGTTAGCAGCAGGTGCAGCTCCTGCTTGGAAGCAGCAAGTGTGCTCATGAGCCTGCTGAGCTGTGGGGAGCTTGGGGGGCCCCTCTGTTCAGGGTGCTGTCCCCAAACTTTGTTACAACTCTTTCTTCAGAACACCCCAGAGTGTGAGAAATACGCGTGCTGTCCTCTGCCTCCCTACCTAGAAGATTCTGGTTGTGTGATTGAAGAAGACGATGCAGGAAGACCTCTGAGGGATGTCTGTTTCCATTTGTTAAAGCTCTACAGTGACAGGTAAATGGGTCAAATAGTTCACAAACTCTCCAGACACGTTTGATCGGTCAGTGACTTCTCCAACTCCTAAACCAGGGGGATGAAATCAGCTTCAGTGTCTGCAGAACCGCTTAGTGGTCAGAAACCTGCCGTGCACGTGCGCCCTTAGAGAACGTGGCGACGCTGCCGGTGATGGGATAGATGATGAAACTTAAGCCTTGGAGCACATCTGTGGGGTTTTTCTTTACATGTTTTCTGCTTCTGAAGGGTGCAGTCATCGTGCTTCCCCGTAGCTGCCTCTTCTGAAGGCGCTGAGAAATCTGCAGGAGGAGCACGTACGAAAGAAGTGTTCTATCACCCATCACTAATGTAAAGAGCCCTTCCCCTACCTCCCCACCATCTTTTCTCAAGGTTGTGACAGTCTAGGTGCAAACTCAAAAGTAAAAGGGTTTTAACAGTTGCTCTTGTTGTATTTGGTTTTTTGTGATTAAAAAAAGGCCAAACCAACACCCCACACCCATGCGAATCACATGTGAAACAACTAGAGGTGGATGAAGCACCAATTTCTGATTTTATGTGCACACAAGTAGCGATTTGTGTTGCAAATATTTATTTTTTTTTTTCCCTCCAGGCACTATGATCTTGACCAGCTGCTCGATCCCAGGAGCGTAACGTCTGACCCTCTGGACTATCGTCTCAGTTGGCACCTGTGGGAAGTGCTCAGAGCCCTGAATTACACCCATCTGTTCAAGCAGAGTCAGGGAGTGCTGAACGCCAGCTACGCTGCCCAGCTGGAAAGCGAAGGGCTTTGGGAGTGGGCTGTCTTTGTGCTGCTGCATGAGCCTGACACGCAGTGAGTAAAAGACTTTGTGGGTGGTTTTTTTTTTTCTTTCCCTCTTGAAAATAACGTGTTATCCGTTGCAAAGACCTGCCGTGTGTACAGTAATTATGACTTCTCTCACGTTAGACTGGAACTGCACAGCTGGAGAACATCATGCCGCTTGTAAAAATTGTGTGCCAGGAATAATTCTGCTTAGTTAAATGCCTTGTTAGACGTTAAGTAGTGTTGTTCTGTAACGAGTGTCACTCCTGAGCTGTGCTACAGGAGCAGGTCACCTAGCCCTTGCGATACCCCAGGGCTGTCCTGCCTGTGGCTCCGCATGCTTCACAGAATCCCAGAATGTCAGGGGTTGGAAGGGACCTCAAAGGATCATCTAGTCCAATCCCCCTGCCGGAGCAGGACCACCTAGATCAGATCACACCAGAACGCGTCCAGGCGGGTTTGGAACATCTCCAGAGAAGGAGACTCCACAGCCTCTCTGGGCAGCCTGTTCCAGTGTTCTGTTCCCCTTACTGGGAAGAAGTTCTTCCTCATGTTTAAGTGGAACCTCCTCTGTTCCAGGTTATCTCCATTTCCCCTTGTCCTGTCATTGGATGCCAGTGAGAAGAGCCTGGCTCCATCCTCATGGCAGTCACCCTTTCCATATTTATAAACATTAATGAGGTCCCCTCTCAGTCTGCTCTTCTCCAAGCTAAAGAGACTCAGCTCCCTCAGCCTTTCCTCATCAGGGAGGTGCTCCACTCCCTTCATCACCTTTGTGGCCCTTCCCGCCTTCCAGAACTTGACAATATGAATGCCAAGTATCGTAACTGTTCCCGTTGGAGCTGGGCAGCAGTGTGTTTGAAAGGAGCGCTGGGGAGTCGCCCACGTGCATGTTTTGCTTCTGCTGTGACATACTTGAGAAAAAATTGTCTTAAACTTGTAAACAACACGTCCTTTCTGGAGAGGGGTCTCTCGCCGTTAATGCTTGCAGCTCCCATGGCCACGTTGTGACAGAACCTTTTCCCAACCGATAACGTCGGACAGAGCCTGGATCTTACTTCAGGGGCCTGGATCGTGCTTAGACGTGTTTTAGCCTACAGCACTTGAGATGTTACAAAACGCTGGCAGTGACTTCTTCCTTAGCAGTTACCCTGTGCCGAAGGAATTCAGCTGATTTTTCATAGGATCACAGAAGGGTTTGGGTTGGAAGGGACCTCCAAGACCACCCAGTTCCACTGAAATAACGCCGTGTCCTCTCCTCCCCCCAGCATTCGGGAGAAGGCCGTGCGGGAGCTCCTGAGCCGGCACTGCGTTCTCTCCGAGACACCCGAGTCTTGGGCCAAGGAGACTTTTCTGACGCAGAGGCTCTGCGTCCCTCCCGAGTGGATTCATGAAGCGAAGGCGGTTCGAGCAAGGATGGAGGGTGACAAGCATAAAGAAGCCCTCTTCTTGTTCAAGGCTGGGCACTGGAACCAGTGTCACAAGCTGGTCGTCAGGCACTTAGCTTCAGGTGAGGCTGCTCTCCTTATTTTTTTCATTCTGTCTTTTGAACGGCGCATGTAAATGTGGTCGGAACGGAAGTCCTGGGGCGTTGGATAATATGGAGGGGCAGGGCTGTGTTTCATAGAATCACAGAATGGTTTGGGTGGGAAGGGGCCTCAAAGATCATCCAGTTCCAACCCCCCTGCCATGGGCAGGGACACCCTCCACTACACCAGGTTGCCCAAAGCCCCATCCAACCTGGCCTTGAACACTGCCAGGGATGGGGCAGCCACAGCTTCTCTGGGCAACCTGTGCCAGTGCCTCACCACCCTCAGAGGGAAGAATTTCTTCCTTAGATCCCATCGAAATCTCCCCTTTTTCAGTATAAAGCCATTGCCCCTTGTTCTGTCACTCCACACCCTTGTCCAAAGCCCCTCTCCAGCTTTTCTGTAGCCCCTTTAGGCACTGGAAGGCTGCCATAAGATCACCTGGAGCCTTTCTAGCAGCAGGGTTAGTAGAGAGTGACCCGAAATGGCTCTCGGGATACCTGCTGTGATGGTGATTCACTGAGAAGGGCAGTGCTTGACCCTCTGCACATCCACCTTCCTGTGCCAGAGGTGCCTCAGGGAACATTCTTGGAGCCCCCATCCCATGGGTTTCCCTAGCTTGGCAATGGGAGGGCCTTAGACTTCCCTCTTGGAGGCCACAGATCCAGTAAGCGTTTCTGGCCGTGGCTGGCAGTGTCAGGAATTACAAACCTGACCGAGTACAGCCCATCGGTTGCTTTTTCTTTAACAATCCGTGTTCCCAAGGGGTAAGCAGCCCGTTTGCTCTGGAACTAACACACTTGTTCTCTCCAGATGCCATTATTAATGAGAACTACAAGTACCTGAAAGGATTCCTGGAAGATCTTGCCCCTCCGGAGCGTAGTGCGCTCATCCAGGACTGGGAGACGGCCGGGCTGGTCTACCTGGATTACATCCGTGTGATTGAGATGCTTGATAGGATTCAACAGGTGACAGACTGAAACGATTGTTGTTGGGTCTTTCAGTTTGGAAGCTCCTACACACTCTCGTTTTCAGAATAACCCTTTACTCGCCGTTCAGTGCCAACATCCGTGTCTGCCAAAGGCAAACATGGTGCATCTCTGGGAATAGAGAGAGATTTGGTGGATACTGCCAAAAGATGTGGGCTCTGCCCTGCGAACACGCTCTGTGGAGCATGGCAGTGAGATACAAGAAGGAGAAGGAACCAAAGTAGCAGTTGGGTAGTTAGTGGGGAGTCTGCGTGTCCATCTCCTCTAATCCAGCTCCAGACTTCCCACTTCCCGCACTTCAGGTGTTCACTTCAAACCAGTTTCCACGTAGAGTGTCTCCTGTTGGACAGATCTGGTTCGGAGTGCGCTCGGGCAGTCGGCGAGCGGTGCTGCTGGGGGGCTTTGGGTGACTGGGGGGCTGACTGTCCTGTTTGCTTCCAGCTGGATTGTTCCACCTACGAGCTGGAGCGGTTACATACCAAAGTGACGTCGCTGTGCAACAGGATAGAGCAGATCCAGTGCCGCAGCGCCAAGGACCGCCTGGCCCAGTCAGGTACAGTGACACCAGTATCTCGCAGCCCCCTGGGGAAGGGCAGTTACAACAAGCCCGGCCAGCACGGGCTGTCACCCAATGCTCTGCTCCACAGTTTCCTGTGGAATGGCTGTCCAAGTTCACCGCTCGGCAGGGCGAGCTCCTCGGTGCTCCCAGTCCGGAGCGTGGCGCGGAGCATGCGGGAACACCCCTCTTCCTGCTCTTTGCAGACATGGCCAAGCGCGTTGCCAACCTGCTGCGGGTGGTCCTCAGCCTGCAGCACGCCCCGGAGCCCCTCGCCGACTCCGCGCCCGACCCGCAGCGCGTCCCTCTGCGCCTGCTCGCCCCCCACATCGGGCGGCTGCCTCTGCCGGAGGACTACGCCCTGGAGGAGCTCCGCAGCCTCACCCAGTCCTACCTGCGGGAGCTGACCGTGGAGACCCACTGAGGAGGAAGCCCTTCCACGGGGGGACAGTTCTTGGATTGACAGTTTTAACCGTTTGTTAACCGTTATCCTTGTTCTGAGGGTGCACCACCTCTCCAGCCACGCAGGTTTTTCCACAGAGGTGTAAACCAGCCGCAGCGCGTGGGCCAGCGCAGGAGTTGTGTAAGCTGGGGCGGCGTTGGGGCTGGTTGCACCTTCCTGCTGGCTGGCACCCTCAGCCACACGACGTTTTCCTGGAATCCATAAAGCGCCTCTTGCCGAACCGGTCTGCAGGTGAGGTGGTACCTGTGGAGGGGGGCAGGGGGTGGGCTTCCTCCCCGGGCACATCCTTCTCGCTCCTCCCGTGGCGGCGCAGAGGATGGCGAAGCGAGTTCTGGGACAGTTTGCCGTGGGAAACCGATGAACCTTCAGCACCTGAACTGGCCGTGGATAAGCTTTAACTGGAGTTTTGTGTTAAAAGTTTGCTCTGTTGGGCGGGGGGAGAAGAAACTAAATTCAGAAGCATCTTTTCCTGCATTCTCTTGTTCGGAGACCCGTGAATGTTTCGTTTCTCTTGTTTTTCCGTCTCCAAAAGCAAAGGAAGGCACTTCCCTGCCTCGGGAGAAGGGGAGGTGACACCTGTGAGTGTGCCTTACGGTGAGCTCTGTGCCCGGCAGGCCTCTG